TGCCCCGCCGTGTCCCAGATCTCAAACTTGACCGTGGTGTCATCCAGGCACACGGACTGCGTCAGGAACGCCGCTGGGGACAGGGACAGGGCCACCACAGTGTCACCACAGTGTCACCACAGTGTCACCAACCCAGCCAGGGACCCCTCAGTGCACCCCCAACCCAGCCAGGCACACGGACTGCGTCAGGAACGCCGCTGGGGACAGGGACAGGGCCACCAGTGTCACCAGAAGACAGTCCCTGCCTTCCAGGGACTTTTATGTCCTAAAGTCTCCCAAAAAGCCCTCCCTGAACCCCAAATCCCACCTGGGATCACCCTAGACCCCTGTGGGATCCCCAAATCCCTTTGGGATCCCCCCAATCCTGGCTCACCGCCGATGGTGCTCTCCTGGTACTCGTGGAACTGGCCCTCAACAAAACCCTTCCTGCACCCCAAATCCCACCTGGGATCACCCCAAATCCCACCCAGACCAGCCCCAAATCCCTGTGGGATCCCCCAGACCCCTTTAGGACAGCCCCAGAACCCCATGGGATCCCCAAATGCCCCCTAGGACCCCGGCTCACCGCCGATGGTGCTCTCCTGGTACTCGTGGAACTGGCCCTTGACGAAGCCCTGCACCCCAAACCCCACCTGGGATCACCCCAAATCCCTGTGGGATCACCCCAAATCCCACCCTGGACAGCCCCAGACCCCTTTAGGACAGCCCCAAATCCCTTTAGGACCCCCTAAATCCCTTTGGGATCCCCCCAGTCCCGGCTCACCGCCGATGGTGCTCTCCTGGTACTCGTGGAACTGGCCCTTGACGAAGCGCAGCACCAGGCTGGACTTGCCCACGGCCGACTCTCCCAGTAGCACCAGTTTGAACTGGCAGATCTTACTGGGCTGCGAGTGCCCGTTGGGCCGCTGGGCGCCGCGGGCGGCCATGGCCGGGCTGGGCGCGATGGCACCGCGATCCTGGGGGCACAGCACAGGGGGCACGGGGGGTCAGGGCACGGGGATGGGATCAATCCAACTGGGATGGGATCAACCGAACTGGGATAACCCAACTGGGATGGGATCACCCAACTGGGACGGGCTGGGCGCGATGGCACCGCGATCCTGGGGACAGAGCACAGGGGGCACGGGGGGTCAGGGCACGGGGATCACCCAACTGGGATGGGGTCAACCCAACTGGGATGGGATCAACCCAACTGGGATGGGATCAACCCAACTGGGATGGCATAAACCCAACTGGGATAACCCAACTGGGATGGGGTCAATCCAGCTGGGATGGGATCAATCCAACTGGGATAACCAAACTGGGATGGGGTGAACCCAGCTGGGATGGGGTCAGGGCACTGGGATAACCCAACTGGGATGGGATCAACCCAACTGGGATGGGATAACCCAACTGGGATGGGGTCAGGGCACTGGGATCACCCAACTCGCACGGGATGGGGGACCCTGCTGGGACAGGTGAGAACTCCAGGAGAACCCTCTGGGATCAGCCCTGGGATGGGATCACCCACACGGGATCAACCCCTGGGACGGGACGGGCTGGGCACCAGGGGACCCCAAACTCTGAGCAATCCCAAACCCCAGGGAATCCCAAACTCTGAGCAATCCCAAACCCCAGGGAATCCCAAACTCTGAGCAATCCCAAACCCCAGGGAATCCCAAACTCTGAGCAA